GAAAAAAAAAAAAAAAAAAAAAGAGAGAGAGAGAGAGAAGAAAAGAAAAGAATATATCTTTACCTTCCTAACAGCAACTCAAAAGAATTCCTGTTTTTTTTTTTTTTCTTATCTAATCACTTTACTTAAATCACTATATAATTCCTGGTTTAAAAAAACTTAAAAGGATCAAATTATCTACCCTAACACAGACAGGGTTGTTAAGCCTCCCCTCAACCCAATCTACTCTCTTGCTCAAACAACTCTATAAGCTTTTAAAGGAATTTTAGCATCTGTTAGAACCTTTACAATTATTTCACATTATTATAATCCTATACTGAACTCGTTCACTTAGCTAAATAGGAAAAAATGTATCACAATGCTTTACTGTACCAGCAGGAAGATTAACCAACGTTGAATGCAGTAAGGATTCCGGCAAAGGTGTTTGCAGCAGAAAATTAGGGTTAAAATCCAAGTTTAAGCTACACTTATTAATAGGTTTCCAAGAGCCCTGAAATACCCTTGAAGGCCCAAAAAGGAAAATTCCTCTCATCCAGTCTCTTGATGGTGGCAAAGAAGTCCCTCTTATCTTACAATCAGAAAGTTCTTATATCTAACCTAATTCTTTCCCACTGCAATTTAAAGTCACGTATTTTTCTCATATTCTCTATAGAAATGAAGTCACTGTAATAAGTTACTCGCTCAAACTGTCACAACAAATAAGGGTAACTAGAATCAATACTGTTTTCCTTTTATTCTCTTTCATTATATAATCAAAAGTTCTTAAATTTCCATCTCCCCCCTTTTCTTTAAGATAAATTTTTGCTATAGAGCACATGTGCTCACTGGAGAGACAGACAGAGACAGAGAAACAGAAAGTGAGAAATCACCTCCCAGAGGGATAGCACCACAATCCCTTTTTCCTCTTGGGATTTTGGGCCCGCATGCATACATGCCTGGCATGAGTTTTAAGCTGCTGGGTTTGGGACTCAATCAGCAGTCGACTATGTGGGAGCCCAGTGACATAAACATTATGCCATGTGCCGGTCCCACTTCCATCTATCTTGTTCAGGGAAGAACTGCTTATTTCCTTCAAGAAAACTGTGAAACTGATTTGAAAATAAAGTTGCCTTCTGATAACTCCATGACTTTCATACATCTGAGAATTTTAAAACAGAAACCCTTCATAGTGCTTTTAAAGTTCTTTTTTTACATAAAATGTCCTAATAATCACAGGTAACTTTTATCGAACAATTCTGTATCAGGTATAGTGCTAAACATTACACATGCAAGAGATTCTTTGATCTGTACAACAATTTTATAGAGTTGGTGCTTCCCACATTTACAAATGAGAAAACTGATGATAATTCAACCGTCCAAAGACACGTAGTCTATTGGTAAACAGAACCTGGTCGTCCTCATATCAGAGTCTACCTTTCTAATTCATTAAACTATAAGATCTCTCATCAGGCTTTTATTTATTTATTTATTTATGGTTTTTGCCATGGGGCACATAAGCCATCTGGAGAAAAACAGAAAGAGACAGAGAAGGGGAACGTGAGAAATCAACTCCGGGGGTAGGGGGATGGTCACACTACAGTCCCAGTCCCTTTTCTTCTGTTCTAATTCTGGGATCCTGGGCACACACATACATGCACCTGGCCTAATTTTTTAAGACACCCAGTCTGGGACTCAAACCGCCCTAAGTCATGTGGGAGTCCAGCATCTTAACCTCTATACCACTGCTGGCCTATAGACCTTCATTTTTAAATAGGAAAGCCTCCTTTTCATAGAGTACATGGTTCTGAAAGTATCAAGTTCTTCGTAATAAATGTTCATTTTCTCATCTTTCCGTTATTTCAAGACAATAAAACATGTGGAAAAACAACTACCCAAAGCTTCACAAAACTAAAGAGAGTCATACTTTAAAAAAAATATGTAAAAACCTTTTTTTTTTTTTTTTGTAGAGATTTTTGCCTTAGGGCACATGTGTTCACTAGAGAGAGAAAGACAGAGACAGTGAGAGGGAAAGTGACAAATCACCCCCTAAGGGGCATGGTTATGCCACAATCCCTTCTCCTCCCACGACCTTGGGCATGCACACATATGTGTCCAGGTCTGGGATTGAGACCATGTTTGACCATGTGGAAGTCCAGCAATGAAAACACTATGCCATCTGCTGGTACTGTAACAACCTTCTTTAAAACCAGGGGGGAAAAGGCATGTGCACTAAGATCTAGAAGAGTGGTATGTATAACTGTAGACTTTCTACACTAGAAAGAATGAACTTTTAGACTTTACTTGGCTACACTTACCTATTTGTTATCACAGCTAAACCAAACTTGTATTTTTCATAACTGTATATGTTGTCATCTGCCCCTCCTCTCCACCCCTGGCCTCCAAATTCTCACAACTATTTCATATGAATTTTAGAGTCTGCCTATAGAATTCAATTAAAAATACTGCTGAGATTTTGGTTTGGTACTGTCTTTTGAAAAGAGGCTGGGTTTAACTCCCCCAGTTTCAGCCTCAGGCCGATATCAGCTCCTATGCCGGGGTATTTCTGCCACCAGGGAGATGAGTATCCAAACTGAAGATTAAGGTTTTTTATAGTCCCTTTTAAAAAGCTGCATCTAGGAACCAGCAGTTAACGTAATGACTATGTCGCTGGACTCCCACATAGTCGACCGCGGTTCGAGTCCCGGACCTGGTGGCTTAAACTCATGCCAGGCGCGTGTGCGTGCGTGCCCAAGATCCTGAGAGGAGAATGGAGGAGAAGGGATTGCGGTGTGGCCATCCCCCCTGGGGGGGGGGTGATTTCTCGCTTTCTGTCTCTCTGTCTCTGTCTGGCGAGCGCATGCGCCCAATAGCAAAAACCTCTCCAAAAAAAGAAAAAAAAAGTTGCATCTAAACTTAACAATGTTTGTTATTTATTACAGAAAATAAAATATGCAATAAACATACAAGCATTTTGCAAGACATTTAGGCTTTCAGGCTGACGAAAGATGAAAAGAAAAGAAAAAAAAGAAACCAGCTAATGTCCTGGGTCATCGGAAAAGTCATGCCACATTTTGGGGTAGAAAAACACATAACTTTTCTTTTTTCTTTTTTTTTTTATTTTAAATTTATTCATTTTCTACATTAATTTACTATACACTATCACACCACACAAATGAATTTTCCATCCAAAATACACTGTGCATTGGCTCAATCAAGCACATCAACATACATGTTCTCAGCAAATAATTTTCCAATTCTTATGTCCTGCAGACCTTGCCTTTTGTTTTGCAATCCTTGATTCCCCATCCCCCACCCTCTGCTATGTCCCATCCTCCTCCCCCACTGTCCCTGGCATCCACGGTTGCCCTCCATGCCTTCCCCCCTCCCCATTCAATTGATCTGCCAATGAACTTAATTAGTCTAAATATATCTAATAGCTAGCACAGCTGACACATACCTATACCTGAACCCAAGTCTGACTTTAGGCATAAACCCCAGTGAGTAGAATGAACATACTAAAAAGTAGTACCCAGCTGTGCCCATACAGCTTGCTGCAGTCGTCAAATATACTTTTTTTTTACAAAATGATACGAACAGTTTTACCGTTTTTTTTTTCCCTGCAACTTTTTTTTTTTTTTGAAAAACACATAACTTTTCTGACGACCCACTAATAAACAGTTTCAATGACTTTAGGTAAGGCAGACCAAATGATGACATCATTAGCACCTGCCATTCACCAGGCACTATGCTAGGAGGAAGAGAAACAGCTAGTAAGAAACTCCGTAAGAGCACTCTAAGATCCTATCACATTGTTGGGAATAAAAACAACACTAACCTATTTTATATAAACAACTAGTACATTAAACAAGTCTTCTGGTGGGCCTTTCTGATAAATGCAGGACTTCAGAAGAGAAAAAGATCAGTGTGGGCTTCAGTGACAAATAAAAATGAAATAAACTGCCAGCACGGCTCAACTTAACTGGTGATAATTAAAACTTAGTGACAGCTACAGAGGAGCCTACAGGGAGAGGAACAGCGAGGAGCTCCACTTGGGTTATAAATGGATACTGGGCTGCACTTACCGCACCCTAGTAAAAGGGCAGCGCCTACAGGAAAGCATCTCTCAGTGTCCTTATGACTGCTCCCCTGCTCCCCTACTCCCGATCACACACATACACTGTGGCCAGCAGGAGGTTAATCCAGTGGGACATCCCCAAAGGCCTGTGGCTCGTGGCTATTCAACACCAGAATCTGGTTCTACTCTCCCTACACATGCCCTGGAGAGTCTATTCCATAGGACTGGCATGTGCAAAAACTCCACCCAGTTTCTTGACTTCATGGAAATTTACTGATCTACTTGGAAAACCTAGTATGTGGGCTCATCTATTTGTGGAAAGTGTTAGTTCTTGCCAAAATTTAGTATGTGGGCTCATCTATTTGTGGAAAGTGGTAGTTCTTTCCAAAGTAACTGAGTCAGAAATTTTTCCCATCACTAGAATTCAAAAAAAAAAAAAAAAAAGAAACAAACTTAATTCATTTTTTTTTTTAGTTGAATAAACAGGATGACCACTATATCTCCTTTCAAGGAACAACAACAAAAAAATAATGCTAAACATAGCTGGGAAAACTGGTCAGGGGGAATCCGGGTGGAACTAATGTGTAAATTATTATAGTTGCTCCTCATAGCTGTAAGGAGCTAACTGCCTGAAGCCCATTAGGCTCCCCAGGAGTCCCTACGCCTCTCCCTCCAGGAGAGAAAACTAGACAAATCTTTTAAACAGCCAACTCCACACTCCTACTGTGGATTTCTGCACTCCTCACCCACAGAGAGGGGAGAAAAAAAAAAAAAAAAAACCAGGAACAGTGCTAACACTTATCATGGGAAGGTGTGGCAACAGGATTTCAAGGGGGGGAAAACCAGATCTTGCACCCTACCCCTGCCCCAAGCAGGCAAGAGAGCTGCATCATCCCATGCACTGGCAGATGGTGCACCATTTAAGATCAAGATTCCACAGCCTGCAAGAAGCAGAGAACCCAAGAGACAGGAATTTACTCACTATTACCTGCTGGCATGCAGGGCAGGTCATACTCTCCCTCCCACCAGACTTAAGTCCAGGGGAAAGGCCACCTGCCCCAACTGACCCCACACACAGCACAGCTGTTTTGGGCCTTCCTGAACTGTAAGTGTGGGCCAAGAGAAGGGGAGGGACACCTGACAGAGAAAAAGGTACCCGAGAGCCCCATTCCAGGTCGGAGAAGAGAAAACAGCGCACCACCACAGACCACCTCCGATCCTGGAGTGCACAATCTATCCAACGAACGTCTAGTGGGAATCTGCTCAAAACTGAGCAGCCCACCTGACCCTCCAGGCATTACAGGTTGAAATCACAGACAGGTTTGCTTCTTGGCCCTCACTGACCTTTCCAGTGCCATATTCAGGCAAGGAGGGTCACTCTGCCCCTGGCCGTCCCACATTGGCCACAAAGGCCTATTTCTAGCATCTCACAGGAATCTGCCTCTTCCTTACTAGGAGACCTTGTCAGGGCTGCATCAGGACCAGTCACCTGCTGCCAGAAATTAGAGGTAAGGTACATGAGCCTGGCCTGTTCTCAAAGGCACAGTGGGCCCCTGGCTTCTCCTGTAACACCTTGCTGGGCTGCACACAGGTCCATGGGGCTACCTGTTGTCAGTAATTAAGAAGCAGGGTACAGGGGTCAGAAGGTGGCAGAGTGATTAAGGTGCAGGACTCCCACATAGCTACCTGCGGTCTGAGTTCTGGACCTGGCAGCTTGAAACCCACACCAGAGATGTATGTGTGTGCCCAAAATTCTGAGAGGAGAAGAGACACGTGATCGCAGTGCGGCCATCCCCCTAGGGGGTGATTTCTCACTTTCTCTCTCTCTCTCTGTGTGTCTCTGGCAAGTGCACGCACCCCATAGATAAAATCTCTATTATAAAGAAAAAAAGAGAAAGGTATAAAAATGACATTAAATTTCCAATTAAAAGACACAGGTGGGCTGAATGGAGCCTGTGGCATAGTGGTTAAGGTGCTAGACTTCCACATGGCCAACCATAGTTCAAGTCCTGGACCTGGCAGCTTGCTTTTTCTCTCTCTCTCTCTGATGAGCATACATAACCTATAGCAAATTTTAAGAAAATAATAATAAATAAAATTTCATTTAAAAAAAGAAGCCTTCTATATGAGGTTCACAAGAACATACCACATTGATAGAGAGATACAAAGATTGAAAGTAAAGGGCTGGAAAAAGTCACTTTGTACAAACAAACCAAAAAAGGTTGGAGTCATGATACTAGTATCAGAAGAAACAGACTCCAAGATAAAAACTGTAAAAAGAGACAAGGAGGAGACTCTATAGTATTAAAGAGACTGATTCAGAAGAAGATAGAACAATTATAAATATCTACATACTCAACACCAGGGCATCCGAATACATAGAGGAAAGACTGCTATATCTAAAGAGACAGACTCCAATGCACTGATTGTTAGGGAGTTTAAACTGCCACCATCACCCCTGGCTAGGTCATCTAGACAAAAAATATTAACAAAGAGACACAGGAGCTATACGATACCATAAACCAAACTGACCCAACAGACATTTATAGAATGCTTCACCCAACAACTACGAGATACACATTTTTCTCAGACAGACATGGAATGTGTTAAAGCACAAAACAAACCTCTATAAATTTAAAGGAATAAAAACTGTATCAAGCATTTTTTTCTGATCACAATGGAACAAAACTTGAAATCAACAAAAGAAAGATGCTTCAAAAATACATAAAAAACATGAGAACTAAATAATTTACTCCTGAATGACCTGCAAAAGCAGTCCTAAGAGGGCAGTTTATAGCAACCAGTTCCCACAAGGAAAAAATAAGAGACATGATAAATAAATAACCTAATAGTGTTTCTCAGGGAACTGAAAAAGCATCAACCAAAAAATTCTAGAAAAGGGACCAGCAGTTAGCATAACGGCTATGTCATCGAACTCCCATGTAGTTGACAGTGGTTCGAGTCCTGGACCCGGTGGCTTAAACTCATGCTGGGTGCGTGTGCATGCGTGCCTAAGATCTTGAGAGGAGAATGGAGGAGAAGGGATTGCGGCGTGACCATCCCCCCTAGAGGGTGATATCTCACTTTCTGTCTCTCCCAAATCCAAGAAAGCACTGTACCAGTATCTCAGAAATTTCTACGACTACTGCCTTGATTCAAACCCTTGTTGTATCCTGCTGACAGACGATGATACACCCATAAGGAGAGCAGACTCTTGTTAGTAAAAAGCACGATACTCTGTTTATGCATCAATTTACCTAAATAGCTTTGAAAAAAAAATTATCCATAAGAAACCTTTGAAATTCCTTATCTTTGTCATTTTTATTTCCTCAAAATGACATAAACTTACAGTTGAAGTTTTTATTGTGGATTATTACATTCAGAGTTATAGAGAAAAACAGAAAGAACATTCATGTGTTCACTGTACTACTTTATGAAATCGTGATATTTTGACATATTTGCCTCAAATTTTAAGAAACAAACCATTACAGATAAAGCTGAGATGCCTTGGGTAAACCTTTCCTTTGCTCCATGCCCAGAAATAACCATTTTTCTAGGCTTAGAATATTTGTTGTTCCGGTACCTGTATAACTTGTCGTGTCTTGCTGTTTTCTAAAGCAGTTTTGCCTCTGTCATTACATCTTTACAACCCTCCGAGTATGTAGGGAGTTATATATAGTATTTATTTCACTTCTGAAAAGGTACAGCCTACCAAATTATTCCAGTTACAAAGCTATTAAGTGTGAAATGAAGTAGTATTTTATGATTTACAAAGTGTCTCGTTAGAAATAAGTCCTGAGATGTTTGTATGACAATTTTACACCCTGCTGTGTTCTTGTGTTTAAAATGTCAATAATTACCTTTAAAAAGTATAAACAGAATAAGAGGACTGGAATAAATCTCAGCAGGTTATATATTCTTAACTCTGATTTTAGTGTTACTATCTTAAAACCAACTGTCTGTATATTTACAAAGAAAATACTTAAAATAGGAAGAACCGTCTGCCCTCCTAAGTAATGTTTCCTGGCATTACAGAGTGGTAAAGAGGTTGTGGAAATGTATTGCTTTACATTATCTCATTATGCTTTAAAAATTAAATAACTAGAGTCTCATGCTGTAATTTAAATATGTTTAAAGTGTTTACAACATTTTACTAATTTTTATTTTATAATTTCTTACTTACATTTAATTGTACATATTTAGAACACACAATTTATTTTTCAAAGCATTTATGTGTCAGGTGATAGTCAAGTCAGAGACATTACCATATATATAATTTTCAACAAAGAACCTTACCCTCTTGTGTCTGATAAATGCTTTTCCTGTGTCCCTCACACCCACCTCCCACTATCTATCCCCCTCCCGCAGTCTCTGATACCCACCCTTACTCTGCCTATTATTGTATCTTTGAATCTTTCCATTTCTGCCAAAGAGTGCAGACATTCAGTATTTATTGAACAGGAATATACAAGGCTTGTCTTTCATAGTCTGGGTTATTTCTCTTGTTGTGAAGTCTTCTGCATTTGTATTGAATGAATGAGTGAATCAAATCACTTTGAATCAAATGAATGAATGAATCAAAAAGAATCTTGCTACTCTTTATGGCTGAGTAGTGTTCCATAGTGTGTATGCCACATTTTTTCAATCTAGGCGTCATTTGCTGTGCACTTAGGTTGATTCTATATCTTAGCAGTTGCAAATAGTGATGCAATAAACAGGGATGTGCAAATGTCTTTCCAACTGTTTTTCCTTTTCTTTGGATAAGTACCAAGGAATGGGATTACATTGAGGAACTGTACTTTTTTCCATGGCTGTATTAACATACACTCTCACCAGCAGTGTAGGAGGGTTTTCACCAAGTTCATCAGAACTTGTCATTCTTGGATTTTTTTTGATAATAGCCAGTCTGATTGTAGATGTTGATATCTCCTTATGGTTTTGATTTCCTTATAATAAGGGACATTGAACATTTTTCATATGCTTTTTGGCCATTCATATGTCTTCCTTAGAGATTTGTCTGTTCAGCTCATTTGCTCATTTTTAAATTGTTTGTTTTTTTGGAGAAGTTTTTGCTATAGTGCATGTGCTCCAGAAAGACAGAGAAAGACAGACAGAAAGCGAGAAATCACCCCCCAGGAGGGATGGCCATGCCGCAGTCGCTTCTGCTCCATTCTCCTCACGGGAT